GCTTCAACAATAGAATACAAGAGATGGAATAGAGAATCTCAGACAGTGAAGATACCATAGAAGAAATGGATACATTGGTCAAAGAAAATATTAAATCCAAAACACTACTGACACAAGCATCCAAGAAATCTCAGACAGAATGAAAAGGCCAAATCTAGGAATAATAGGAATACAGGAAGGAGAAGAAACACATGTCAAAGGCTCAGAAAATATTTTCAACAAAAGTATAGAAGAAAATTTTCCTAACCTAAAGAAGGAAATACCTGTAAAAGGTACAAGAAACACACAGAACACCAAACATTGGATCATAAAAGAAGGTCTCCTTACCATATAATCATTAAAACACTAAACATTCAGAACAAAGAAAGAATATTAAAGGCTGCAAGGAGGAAAGACCAAGTAACATTTGAAGGCAGGCCAATTAGAATTACACATGATTTCTAAATGGAGACTATAAGAGCCAGGAGTGGCCAGCTATGCCTCTGTGGCTGTCACTATGGCCCTTTACAAAGCCACCGACTCGAAGCGCGAACAGTTCCAGAGGTACTTGGAGAAGTGGGGGGGGGGGGGGTGCTGGACACACTGAAGAACCAGAGAAGCTCACCAGTGTTCTGGATTTTTTAAATGCATCACGTAGGAGCTGCTACCCCAGAAAACCCAGAAATAGAGCTGCTTCGCCTAGAGTTGGCAGAAATGAAAGAGAAATATGAAGCTACAGTAGAAGAAAATAAAAAACTGAAAGCAAAGCTTGCTCAGTATGAGCCACCTCAGGAGAAGTGTGATGAATAGGATTCTTCTCAATTGAAAAGACACTGAAAACTGGTTTTGTATCACTTGAATAGCATGTATAGTATATAATCTTTCCTGAAAAGATGCTATAAACTTTTAATATGTTAAATCCACTCATCACACATATACATAGAGTCACCAATTAAAAACTCAATATAACTTAAAAAAAAAAAAAAAGAGTCCAAAGGGCCTGATGAGATGTGTTGTAGACTTTAAAAGATCATGGATACCAAGCCAAACTACTATGCCCAGTAAAATTCTCAATCACCATAGATGGAGAAAAACAAATATCCCATGATAAAGTCAAATTTAAACAGTATCTATCTACAAATTTAGCCTTACAGAAGGTCCTAGATGGAAAACTTTAATCTAAGGAGGTTAATTATACCCATGAAATAATTTCACATCAGAAAAACCATTAGAAGGAAAGAATTTGAGTGTGAACATACACATACCATCACCACCATTGCTGCAGCCACTACCAACACTAACAACAAAATAATAGGAATCTATAATCAATTGGTCATTGATACCTCTCAATACCAATGGTCTCAATTCCCCAATGAAGAAAGCAGACTAACAATGGATGGGAAAGCAGGATCTATCCTTCTGCATCCAAGAAATACATCTCAACATCAAGGTAGACATTACCTCAGGGTAAAAGGTTGGTAAAATATATTCTAAGCAAATAAGCCTAAGAAACAAAATGGTGTAGTCATTTTATATCTGACAAAATAGACTTCAAACCAAAACTCATCAGAAGAGATAGTAAAGGACATTACATACATAAAAGGAAAACAAACAAAAACCACCAAGAGGACTCTGCAAGTCTTAAAATCTATACTGCAAACACAAGGTCACCCAAGTTTATAAAAGAAACTCTAATACAGCTGGTCCTCACACACTGAGAGTGGGAGACTTCAATATTCCTCTCTCACCAAAGGACAGGTCAGCCAGACAAAAACTGAAGAGATAAATGCTGGAACTAATGGATATTAAAAACCAAATGAATCTAACAGATATTTATGAGATATTTTTCCCAAACACAAAAGAATATACCTTCTCTGCAACTCATGGAACTTTCTACAAAACTGACCACATACTTAGTCACAAAGCAAGTCTCAACAGATACAAGAAAACTGAAATAACCTCCTATATCCTATCAGACCACCACTAGTTAATGCTGAATGTCAACAACAGAAACAACAGAAAGTGGACACGCTCATGGAAACCAAAATACTCTCTTCTGAATGAATGAAAAATGGGTCATGAGTAAAATTAAGAAAGAAATGAAAGACTTTCTAGAATTAAGAGAAAATGAAGACAATACATACCCAAACTCAAGGGACAGGATGAAGATGGTTCTAAGAGGCAACTTCCTAACTCTAAGGGCCTACATGAAAAAACAAAACAAAACAAACTGAACAGTTAGCCTATCAATTTAACGGCATACCTGAAAGATCTAGAACAAAAATAAGAAATCACACCTAGAAGAAGTAGATGGCAAGCAATAATCAAACTCGGGGCTGACATCAGTTGAATAGAAACAAAGAGAACTATGGCTTATGTTGGGTTATAGGTGCCACAGCAGAAAGAGTGATTCACCAAGATTCTAAGCCTTCGTTTTCTGAAGGAGCAGAGGAGTACAGCCTTCTTGTAAAAGACTGACTCCCAGTTACTTTATTCAAACCTATTCAAGGTTAACTGGGGCTGGGAAAGGTTCCAACTACCAAAGCCATCTTGCTTTTGCTGCCCATGAGAGCAGACAACTCACATAAATATCAGTCCCCTTTGGTTATGGCAGGCCATAATGAAAAGTAAGAGCTACAGGTCTGCCAGGAGTGTCTTAGGACCAAGGTAGGTAGCTGCAAGCTCTCACATAGCACGGAGTGCAGACTCTGGAGAGACCACATTTTTTCAAGGGTTAAACAGTCTCAAAGCAATTTCTCAGCCTCTACTGATTGACAAAAGCTTTGCTGAAACATTTCTCTCAATGCCAGACACAAAGGCTTTACTATACCTGTCACTTACAGCCAGACACAAAAACTTTACTACACCTTTCACTTACAGCCAGACATAAAGGCTTTACTATACTGTCACTTACAGCCAGACATAAAGGCTTTACTATACCTTTCACTTACAGCCAGACATAAAGGCTTTACTTATATACAGAGAACAAGACAAGGAATCAGTGAAACAAAGAGTTGGCTCTTTGAGAAACCAGTAAGACTGACAAACCCCTATCCAAATGAGCTGGAAGGTGGAGAGAGAATACCCAAATTTAAAAAATGAAAATGGAACACAACAATAGACAAGGGAAAATTCAGAGACTCATAAAGACACACTTTAATAACTTTTTACTCCAACAAATTGGAAAAATGTAAAAGAAATGGCTAATTTCCTAGGTACATACCACTTACCAAAGTTAAGTCAAGATCAGATAAGCAACTTAAAACTGTAACCCCTAGTGAAATAGAAGCAGTCATTAAAATCTTTCAACCTCCCCCCCCCCCACAAAAAAAAGCCCAGGGCTAGATGATTTTAGAAGAGCTAATGCCAATATTCCTGAAATTATTCTACAAAGTAGAAACAGGGGGAACATCACCCCCATGTTCTAGTGTCTTTGGTACAGGAAGGTACTCTGCAGTCTATCAAAAGAGAAACATAAACACTAACCCAGCTACAAACCCACAATGCTTTCCTGCCTAAAAGATGTGCTAGGGAAATGGTGGTACAAAGCTTTCAGGAATAACCAATCAGCATCTGATTTGGCTTAAGGCCCACTCTACAAGATAGAACCTATACCTGACATTGCCTGGGTGATCAAGAGCCAGAGAGTAGATAGCTTAGAGACCTAGGGTAAAACAACTGTATTCTTGTTGTTGTTGTTTTGTTTTGTTTTGTTTTGTTTTTCGAGACAGGGTTTCTCTGTATTGCTTTGGTGCTTGTCCTGGAACTAGCTCTGTAGACCAGGCTGGCCTTGAACTTACAGAGATCCACCTGCCTCTGCCTCCCGAGTGCTGGGATCAAAGGTATGCGCCACCACTGCCCGGCTACTGTATTTTTTTTTTTAAACAGTGATAAATGACTCCTAGTGATACTCTGATATACTTGTAGATCAGTGCCTTATTCAGTCTTCATCAGAGAATATTTTCCTGAAGAAGACACAGACAGATGCAGAGACCCACAGCCAGACAGTGTGCAGAAAGGGAGAGACCTTGTAACAAATAGCTCTAAATGGGGTTTCTCCCCTCAGATGTCAGGGAACCCTGTGGGAAAGGATGTGAGAGCTGGGGGGATGGAGGACACCAGGAGAACAAGGCCCTCTGGAATCAACAGAGCAAGACTCACATGAACTCACAGAGACTGCAGCAGCAAGCACAGGGCCCACCTGAGTCTACACCAGGCCTCCACATGTGTACTATAGATTGCATACACTGTATGTCTCAGTTTAGTATTTTTATAGAACTCCTGAGTGTGCGAATGAGTGGGTCTCTGATTCTTGTGCCTTCTCTTGGGTTCCTTTCCTTCCGCTTGTTTGACTTGTCCAACTTTTGATGTTTTTTGTTTTATTTTATTGTATTTTATTTTGTGGTGCTTGGTTGTTATCTCTTGGAAGCCTGTTCTTTTGTAATGAGAGACAGAAGAAGAGTGTGGATCCAGAGGGGAGAGGAGGTGGAGAGGAGCTGGCAGGAGTAGAAGGAGCAATAACTGTAATGGGGATCTATGGTTTGAGAAAATAATCTATTTCCAAAATAAAAGAAGGGGGGAGGGAGGGAATCCTGTTCTAATGACAAAGATGAATTCTCTTCTTTTCTAAACCTCATGCCAAGGACCTAATACATTAGAGCTCTGTCCCTCAATGCTGCATTCTGTCACACATATATGAGATTCTGTTTCTTCATCCCATAAACATTATGCCATTTGTTGCCTCTCTCACTTCTGATGGCCATCTGGGTACATTTCATGATTTTTATAGGACTTGAGATCAAGCATACCAGGTTGCCTGATGTACCAGGCAACCCCTCTGCCACTGAGTTTCATCTGCAGTCCTTCCATGAACACACTTGTGTGAGTCTGACGAAGAGCTGTATCTGGTATTTTTAGGTCTGCAGTTGTGAGCAGAACTGTTGCACAATTTGATGGTTGTATCCTAATTATCTTTCATTGACAAGATCTGGCTGGTTGCCTTTCTGAATGTTTGCTGGCCACTCACATACACCATTTTGTATTGGATTGTTTGCAACTTTTATTGATTTGTAGAAGATCTTAATTTTAGGCCTTATAATTGACAGATTTTTTTCTGGGTATAGCAGTCTGGACTGGCATCTGTGTCAACTTTCAGAGCTTGAAGAACATCTGATATGAGTCCAATCTGAGATACACTTAGCTACAACACCGGCACACTTCAAAAAGGAATCACGCTAAGAATTAACATATGTTCTTTAAAATATACAAGTAAAAATCAAATATGTAATAAAATCAGAATGCCTCTCCCTAATGCTGAGGCAACATATTGTAACACCATCAACAAACAATAAACACTGTGTTTTCTCCTTGTCACACACACCTCGTGGATATGACTCCACCTTACAGAGACGAAAGACAGGGCACAGTGATAAAAGGTGGCTTCTGTGAGAGTAACACTGAATCTGGACCTGAACCCAGGAATCCTGTGGCCTTCATTCCTTCCAAGACCCCCTCCTGCCCTTCAGAACCTTTGTTTAGAGGGCCAGTGACACCAGAATCTGTCCCTAACATATGCTGTCCTTTCCAGCACTGCAGCCACACTGGGCACACAGAGCAAGGAGTGTCAGCACTTGCGGATCTTGATCTCTGTGTAATCAGACTTGATGGTCTCCGTGTTCTGAGGCTGCCGGGGCTTCAGGCCTTGGAAGGACAAGGAGGCATAGTAGAGTTCCGGCTCATCCTCCAGGGTGTGTGGGACTGTGGCAAGTGGTGACTGTTCTTTCTGGTTCTGTGACTCTGATGCATTCAAGTGACCCTGGAACCCAATTAAAGAAGGGCATCAGTGAAGATTCTGCAGGTGGCAGTGACAATCACCAAAGGAACGTGGGTTTAGCCTTGCATTTTGTCCATTTATCTACCTCACACACATTTCCTGAGTGTTGACTCCATGCTTTCTTTACTCATTCAACTTAACTCTAATGATGTTTGAACATGAATATGAATATTTGTCTATACCCCCCTCTACATTCCCCCAGTATGAGCCTGTGTTCACATACACCTGTATACACAGTACTCGTGATCAAGCCTAGGGTCTTGCACATAGAGGGCAAGGGCTCTAGCAATAAAGAGTCTCACTGAATCCTCACAACCCCCTCCTTTCCCATTTTATGGACATAAACATAGTCTGGTCCAGGCTAAGTAACTCACAAAAGACAGCATCAGACTGTCAAAAACAAAGCCAGATGTGTCTGCCAGCAATCCTAGAACAGCCTGGGCTACACAGAGACCCCAAAACCTAAATAAGTAAAATTTCAAAACTAAATTAAAACTTTATCTAATTGTGATCTGATAGGCAGAAGCAAGGGGTGTGTGGGTAGAGGAGGGAGTAGCCTGAGACTGCAGGAGGCAGGTGATGGCCTGCCTGTCAGAGGCAGGGATATTTTAACTGACACATGGAAGATGGTTAAGGCTCCATTCAAGGAACGATTAGGGAGCACCTGCCAGGGAGTTTGAACTTCATTCTGAGGTTTTGATATTGAGTATGGTGCTAGCCACATGCAGCACATGGGATGTAGGGAGTGGCCAGGGAGATGTGCTGTGAAGACAAAGTGCTTGCTGGGTCTTATGAGCACCCCAAATGAAGAATGCAAATGTATTAGTCACAATTTTCACATCTGGTTATTGATAACAAAGTAGAATTGCAGTCATCTGGATGTGTTCTATGGAATGAAATGTGGTATTATGTGGTTCTGCTTTTTTTTAATGTGAGTAATAAAGATTTTATTTTATACATATGGCCAACAGTCTATTTCTTTCCTCTTTTTTTTTTTTTCTTTTTCTTGAAATTAAGTCTCTAGGTAGCCTGGATTCTCCTGGAATTTCCCATGCAACCCAAGCTGGCCTCGAGCTTTAAATTTTCTTTCTTTGTTCTTCTCAAGTGCCAGCAATATAGGCACATGCCACCAAGCCCAACCTCCTAGTATATGGCTCTCTGTGTCTCTCTTCTTCCCCATCCTTTCTTCTCCTACTGAGAATAGAACCCAAGGTCCCCATTTGCTAGAAAACTACAACAGGGCTATGTTCCCAAGTGCCTCACTGTTAAAATTCTGGGCAAGCACCCAGCCTCTGAGCCACACCAGGCTTCTAACCAGGAGCCCTACTAGCCCTTAGCCATAAGCCCAGCCCAGCCCTGGTAGATTCTTTGCAGGCATTCCACTTCTAAGCCACATCCCATTTCTCACTGATGAGCACAAGGCAAGTTCTCTACTGCTGAGCCACATTCCTAGCTGTCTTTTCCTTTTGATTTTATTTGGATCTCCTTAGTTACCCCAGTACTCACTAGGTAGTTCAAGCTGACTTTGCACTCCACAGCCTCCTGCCTCAGCTTCCTGAATGCTGAGATTATAGGTCTGCACCACCATGCTCAGCCTGGCATTCTATTTCTGTCTAACAACACATTTGTGCTATAAGAACCATGCACAACTCAACAGCTGTGTTTGGGATTCCTTTATGAAAGTTTTTTTTTTTTTTTTTTTTTTTTTTTTTTTTTATAGGCCCCTGAAGCCAGTGCCCAGGGAAAGGCTGTGAAGACTTGACAGGAAGTAGCTACATGGGAGGAGCTTTGCCAACAAGAACAATACCCAGACCTGGGTAAAGACCCAACGCAGGAGACAGAGGTGACCAGGTCCCCAGCCTGGGGTTACAGAAGGAAAGTTGAATATTGGGGAGACATTTGGGGAAACAGAAGCTCAGTTTTGATATGCTGGGTGTTAAGGACTCGGGCATTATGCTGACCTGCCCCTGTGCACTCAGTACCCTGGTCAGCCCAGGGTTCCATGGCTGCATAGTCTGCACGCAGGTGCAAAGGACCCCTTTAAAAGACAGACCCCCGTCCTCTTATGCTCTCTTTCTGCTCTCTTCTCTCTGCCTGCTCCTCTCTTTCCTGCTTTCTTCCCCTGTTCCCCTGGGACACACAGTACTTTCCTGTCTCCCTCTTCTCTCCTGTCCTCTCTCTGTCTCCTTGCCTCGTTTCTCTTCCCTTCCCCCTCGCTCCCATTTCTTATAAAACTTCTCTCTTAAACTCTGTCTACCTGGCATGTTTGTCCCCCTTGCCTGCCAAGGTCCCCATGCAAGGTTCCCCTTGCACTTTATCCTAACACTGGCTACCCAGGTGGGGCATCTCACCGAAATGCTGGACGAGGTCGTGTTGGAACCATTTATGGTGGAGACAGGGCACCCAGCAGGACAGCTGTCTTCCATGTTCACTACTTTCAGGGCAGATTTCTTCCTGAGGACCTTTCCTCTGGAGAAAGCGATCAGGTGTTTTTTTATTTTTTTTTCCCCATATCTTCTGGATGGATTTTTAAGGTCAGGGAAGACCAGGGACAAGGGCTTTGGATGGGATTAAAGATTCTCAGTGTGGATGGGACTACATGATTTGAACAGGCCCCACACCTGGCCAAGGTAGCAGGAGGCTTCTGCTAACCCTGGTCAGGCTCGTTGCTCACTGGGCTGAGTTTTGGAGATTCTTTAAGCAATCCACAATCACTACACAGGGCCTTCACCAAATGGGGCTGGCACTCACACGAAGAAGATGAGGCAGATGCAGACAGCAAGCAAGGCCATGAGCCCAGCCCCTCCCATGGCCCCCTGGACCACTCCTGTACTGGTTTCTGGTTTGTCTGTTAACAAGAAAGACCTGGGGTGATGCAAGCAGTCATCTTAGCATCCAAGCTGCTCTAGTCCGTTGTTTGTGAGAATGCCCAATTCCACTCTGCTCTAGGTCCTTTCTTCCCCATGGTGTATGTGGCTACAGCCTCCTGTCCCCAAACCTCCTACCAGCCCAACTGATAGGAAACCACAAACACTAGCCCCAGGTTAGCCCTAATTTTTCCACTCCCAATGTTTTGTACACTCCAGACAGAAGTCACCCCCCTTACACACACACACACACACACACACACACACACACACACACACACACTACTCTTTGTGACCTCTTGACCTGGCAGCAGCAAGATAGTGGCTCTCTGAACTCCATTGTCATTCCAGGCCTCACAGCTGAGCCTGAGGCCATCACTGAACTCCATGCTGAGGCTCAGGGAGCTGTTGGTCCAGGGTCCTGTGGAGCTGGAGGTGACCGAGAAAGAGACGTTGCTGCTGTTCCCCTCCAGCAGCCCCTCCCTCAGTCTCCAGCGCAGGGTGGGGGCAGGCCAGGCTCTGGAGGAGCAGCTGCAGTGCAGACCCTCAGCCTCCCTGGAGCAGGAGGGTTCCAGAAGCTGTGGAAGGCCTGGGGAGAGGAACACAAAGAGAGGTAGCCAGGGGCCTCACAGCTCGGGATCACAAGGCCTTAGCCCAGTCCCTTCCAACTCACTCTTTACACTGAGGCTCACAGAGGTCACCTGGGCACCCAGATTGTTCTGAGCTCGGCAGATATATTTTCCATGGTCCTCCAATTCCACCCTCTGTAACTGCAGTTCCTTAGTGGAGAGCTGAAGGGGCTTCTGGGTCAGGTGCTCCCAGGTCAGCACGGCTGGGGGGTTGCTGTCGTCGGAACAGACAAGGCGCAAGGACTCGCCCTCTTGGATATGCAGAGATGAGCCATTGTGCAGGACTTCAGGCTCTGAGGAGGCAGAGAGAAGACTGAACGCGGTCACAGAGGGCTTTCTGCATTTCTGTTTTACCACAGCACCTGTCTTTTCTCTTCTGCTGGCTGATGGCCTCACACCACAGAGTAGACAGACAGTATTTCATCAGGTTCTGACATCATCAGAACCACTTTGGGCATCTGTCAACTTGGATGCCTTACTTGTCCTGGAGAGTCTGCCCTTCTGTCTCTCAAGAGCATCTCGCTAAAGCCTGCCTGTTATGAATAAGGCACAAGGGGAACCTTGACAGATTCCACGGCAAGCCAGAGAGATCAAGGTAGAGAGATAAACACTCCAGGCAGATAGAGTTTAGTGAGAAGTTTTATTAGCAAAGGAAGGGAGGGGGAAGGAAAGAGAAAAGATATAAAGAGAGGATGGAAGAGAAGAGGGAGACAGGAAAAGGCCTGTCCACCTCAAGGGAACAGCAGGATAGAGAGAGGGAAAGAGGGAGAGGTTAAGTGGGCAGGGGTCTCTGTTAAAGGGATCCTTTGCATCTGCATGCAGACTAGTAGTCACAGAACCCTGGGCTGACCAGAGTACTGCCTGAGTGCATTCTGCTAGGTGACAGGGGCAGGCCAGCATAATGCCTGAATCCTTACAGTGCCCAATTGAACTGTATCCCAGATGCTCATAGTCCTGGGGAGAGGTGCTTAAAGCAGGTGGCATAGGACAGTGGTGGGTTTTATGATGGCTCTGTCTTAAAAGCCCAGGGAGATTCTCAGGACAAGGAGGTCTTCCAGGAGGAGGAAGGCTGAAGGAGGATGTGAAGAACAGCGGAGATGTCCGGGAACAATGCCATAGTGCTCTGCCCATTGAGACAAAATCACCCTATGCTAGCTGAAGGACCCTGAAAAGTCCCTTCACCTGGCAAAAAGCTGGCTCCTTAACAGAATGCTCTCTTTAGATGACTTTGGAAATTATTGCAAGCCAATAAGTAAAACTTATTGATATATACATATATATATATGTATGTATGTATGTATATACATATGCGTATGTATATATAAAGAGAGGGTCTCATATACCTCATATACCTTCAAACATACTATAGAGATGAGAGTGACTTTGAATTTCTGAGCCTCCTACCTCCACCTCTCAAGTGTTGGGATTCCAGGAATGCAATCACCATGCTTGGTTTATGCAACGCTGGGGATTCCACCCAAGGCTTCCTACATTCTAGAATATCACTTTTGCAACGGAGCCACATCCACAGCCCATAAATAATACTTAAACACCATAAAAGACACTCGGTATCTTGAGAGAATGATGTGAATGAAAACTACATGATTTCATTTGTGCCATGAGGGAGGGTGGGTATGTTTGTTAAGGAGAGAAGACATTGTTCCTAGGGATATGCATAAGACAAAGTCCATGCTATGCAATTCGGCAGTATGTGTGTGAAATACAAATGACCCTTTGTTCTGGAATTTTCTTCCTTAGGAAATAGTTTTAGACATGGTCACAAATGTAGAGTTTTCATGTAATAAAAGACAGAGGAATGCCAGGTTGCTTTTTTTTTTTTCCGTCAAGAGATAAAAAGGTGAATGTGTTATCATATCACTAGGAAACCATGGAGTTACTAATATCTGTGAAGGAGGAAGTCTCCAAGAAAACTTTGTTTAATGGGAAAAAATTAATTCAGTCATTGTCATTTACTGACACATGTCTGCTGGTGGGAGTTTGACCACAAAAGAACCATAAGGATAAGTTCCAATTAAGTCTGTATGAAGAAACAAAAGACTAACAACCTCAAGCACTGAGGGCAGGTTTCATTTAATATCAAAGGACATCTCCAGATTGGGTTCCAAGGTGGTCAGGGAACAGGACTCAGAAACACAATGATCAGCGCTCAAGATTATATGCTTCAAATTTGGGGGTTTGTGGCTAAGGACAGAAAATGGGAAGAGAGGGGTGTTAGAAGCAGAATGAGGAAGTTAGCTGCTTCCTGTAAATAAACTGTTTTAGAAACTATGAGTCTGTTGTCTGGTTTTGTAACCACTGCATGTCTGGGGTCTGGATCAGGGCTTTGCTTCTGCAAACCCCCAAGAGCTGGCTTCCTGCAACTTTGGATTCAGTTTAGGGCCTTAGCTTTTTTTGGGGAGGGGTTACTTTCTCTAGGAACCTCATTAACAAAAGGTCTAAGGTGTAGCTTAGTGGTATAGTTCCATCCTACACAAATAAGTAAATAATAAATAAAAATAAAAATTACAAAATTACAAAGTAGTAAATGAAGAAGGTATGTGTTTCTCCTCCCATTGTGTGTGTGTGTGTGTTTAAATATGCATACAATATTATCTGTATATGGTCAACCAAGACAGAAAAACATTAGATACCAAGAACCATTATTATTAATTTTTTATATGAACAGAGTTATATTGCACTAAAATCCATATATTGGATTTAGCCACAGCCACCACTATAATGGAGATGTTTTGGGAGGTAATTAAGGTAGATGGTAGAGATAGAGATGATAGGATAGAGATACCAAAGGTGGAATGAATGGGGCTATAAGAAGACATCAGAGTGCTTGTGTAGTCTGTTTTTTGCCATTTAAAGACAGGGGTGAAGAGAGGACCACCTATAGCACAGGCAGAGTACCCTCACCATCAAATGGACCAGCACCTGGAACTGGGGCTCCCTCTGGTCCTTCAGAGTTAAGGAGCCTGTTTCTGGTGCGTAAGTCACCCCCTCTATGGTATTTCAGAGAAGATACATCTCACACTAAATTTGACAAAATCACCTCACAGAGAGGAAGGGACCTGGGAAACAGGCCTGACTCCGGTGCTTAAGGAAATGAGAGCAGCCTGGAGATGAAAACACCATCCTAGCACTGGAGAGTGCCATCTGTGACTTGAGAAAGACAGAAGCCATAGACATCTAGAGGTGAGTGCAGCGTGTGGGTGCGGGGGTGAGTGGGGATGCCTTATCCCCCCCTTCTCCATCCTGAACTTCTTCCTGCCTGAGCTCCAGAACATCTGCTTATTTTCGAGGGCAGCAGTTCCTGCACCCACCCCAGGGAGGAGAGATTCACCCTACCTGTGTCATCTCCCCAGGACGCCCTGATGGTCACCTTCTGTGGAGCATCTGGGCAGACAGATACGGTCATTCACTTTTCAGAGATGGGGTGGCTGCTGGTATTTCATCCCAGGGCTCTTTTTCTTCCACACGTCTGGCTTTCAGGACCCATCACCCAGTTCTACCTCCTCTATCCCACACCCATAGTATCCCTTCCCCAGGGACCCAGGTTTCCTGGACTAGCACTCACAAGTGACACTGAGCTGTTCAGTCCTCTCCATGGTAACACCAACGCCAGGGAAGTTCACCTGACAGGTGATGTTTGTGCCATGGTCCTGGGGCCTGGGTGTTAGGTTCAGCTCTGAGGAGAGGTTCGTCCTAGGGCCCAGGGAGGTAAGGGCAGATGACATCCAGGAGAAGATGGGTGGGGTCCCACGCTCACAAGCCCAGGGCAGAGAGCAGATCAGTTGGGTGGAAATTCCAGACACCAGGGTAGGTAAGACTTGGAAGTTAGGAGTTTCATTTAGAGCTAGACAGAGAACGATATGGACACACAGCGTGGTGGGGATCATGTGTGATTCTACCTCAAGGCAGCTGTCATTTGGTCTAAGGGTGCCCCCCCACACACATACCATCACCACATACCTGTGACCTCCACAGAGACCTTCTGCTTCAAGAAACTATATTTCATACTTCCACTTCCTTCCACCCTGAAGAAGTACACTCCTGTATCTCTTCTCTTCGCATCTCTGATATCCAGGGAGCAATCACGGGTATTTGCTCCCCCCACGAGATGGAATCGACCTTGAGCTTCCTTCTGAACTGATTGCTTTGGATCATTTGTAGCCACCAGAGAGTTGAGGCTTTTAGTGACCCCCTTCTGGAACCAGTATCCAAAGACAGAACTACTGGAAGAAGGGTAATGTGCTTGGCAGGACACAAAGATGCACAGGCCCTCCTGCACAGTCACTGAACCGGTCACTAAGAGCTCATAGTCCCTGTTCTTAGCCAGGGACCCTGCAAAGAATAAGACAGTTATCTTGGTCCTGTTCCACCAGCCCTGTGTCCCACCAGCCCCACTCACCTGCCCAGAGCAGGGACAGCAGCAGGCGCCAAAGCATCACACAGTGGAAGGTTCTGGGCTCCTTTAGGTGGCCAGAGAATGGAGGCGTGATCAATTTAAGTGGGTCCTTGAGGTGGGAGTGGCAGGCTTTGCTCGATGTTGCAAAACTGGGGTGACGTCCTCCTGAAAGCCCAGGAATGAGGACAGCGAGCAACTGACCACAGAGAAGGAAATTTGCACCCACAGGTTATCAGAGCTGCCTAGGCCTTGGAGAACAAGCACTTCCACTTTTCATGTGGGGTATCATGGGAGCCAAGGTCAGTGAGGAGGACCCACCCTCTGTCCCTGAACCCTGCCTGTAGCATTTGTTTCTCATTAGTCTTTATTAAGAGTCTGATGGTCAGGGACATGGCTCAGCAGGCAAAGGCACTTGCCACTAAGCCTGCTGAGCTGAGTGTGATCTCTGGGACCCACATCGTAGAAAGAATGAACCAACTCTCACCGCACACTGGTACCATAGTGGCCAAGCACATACACACATAAAAATAAATACAATGAAGTTTCTTTTTTTGCTGTATAAAGAAGAGGAGATTGGGACACTCGCTGCCTGAATAACTTTCCTGTTGTTGTTATAAAATATCCTGACAAAACAACGTAAAGAAAGAAAGGTTTATTTTGGCCCAGAGTTTGGAGTTATATCCCATTGTGGTGGGGAAGTTATGATGGCTACAGGAGTATAGGAAGCAGAGTGAGAGGTGAAAGAATGTTCCGTGTTCACGGCATAGTCTAGGATCCCAGCCTATGGAATGGTGCCATCCAAAGTGAGTGGGTTTTCTCACTCAATTACCCTACTCATGATAATCACCCACTGGCATGTTTAAAGGCCCATTTCCCAGGTGAGTCTAAATCTCATCAAATTTCCAATTGAGGTTAGCCATCACAGACATAGACACACACAGGGCATCCACATGAAGACATGGGGAGAAGACTGTCTGCAAGCCCAAGAGAGAGGCCTCAGGAGGAATCTTGTAAAAAATGCTAATCTAGAACTTCCAGCTTCAATACTAAGAAAAATAAACACGATGAAGCTGCTTGGTGTGTGCACATGTGTGTATTAGTCAGGGTTCTCTAGAGGAATTGAGCTCGTAGAATATGAGTCTATGTGAGTAGTCTAACACTTGTTGTCTCATTGGAGAGGACAAGAATCTGGTAGTGGCTAGTTCACAAGGCTGTATATCTCAGCAGCTCCAGTCTGGTACTGAAGGGCTGGAGAATTACTGGAGAGCTGCCAGTCCTCAGTCTATACTGAAAGCTGGAGGAAACTGGTTCTAGTATCAGCGAAGGGATGAAACAGCAACATGCTGCTGCTGCTGGGAGACCCTCTGTTCTACCAAGGAGACAGATGAGGCCATGAGCTCCCACCATTGCCTCACACTGTGGGGTCTTAGTGAATTGATGGATTCTGAAGACTCTTCTAGTAAGGAGTGTGTGTGATGGGGTACAGATGCTCCTCTCCTGTTTTGTTCTTCAGTCCCAAGTCCTAAACCAACTGGCCTTGCCAGCACACTCTGGAGTCCTCTTTGGCTGCCTCTTGCATTACTTCTGAGGTTTATCATTGGGCTTAGGGAAAGGAGGAGGTGATCCAGTGCCATCTTCTCTGTACCAGAAGTCTGCCACCCACTATGTAGTGTTCTGACTAGTAGGTGGAGAAGTATACCCATATCTATAACACATACATCAATGGTCCCTTCTCATAAGCAGGGATAGAGTGTGGGCATCAAGTGCTTTCGAAATAACAGCAGATCATTCTATTTGTCTTCTGAGCAGTTACCATGAATGCTGGCATTATGATCCCATCATGGTTAGAGGGTTGCCAGAGAATTTGAGACTGTTTCTGCTGAATCCGATTATTATTATTTTAATATTTTTTTCAGAAGAATGTTTACAGGTTCCTGTTGTTGCTTACAACCTATACCCAGACACTTGCTTTTAAATAAAAATTATTTTTATTCAAATGTATCTATGTGGTGTACATTAGTTTATGTGTACCTAATATGTACCTGGTACCTGTAGAAGCCAGAAAAGGACATCAGATTTCCTGGAACTAGAGTATAGGCAGTTGTGAGTCACTTGATCTGGGTACTGGGAAATGAACTCAAGACCTGTACAAGAGTAGCAAGTGCTCTCACCACTGATCTGTCTCTCCAACTCCCAGACTCCTACTTCTGAGCTTATTTCTAAGTGGTAGCATAGTCATGGGTATTACTGGAGGAGGGGTTTAGACACACATGGGAAAGAAGAGGTAACCTAGAGTGGACATGGAGACACTAGCTGTCTCCATGGATTGAGGAAATGAAAACACAGAAAGAGGCAGTGTCTCAGGTGTTGTCATGCTGTAGTAAATGGAGGAACACAGACGTGTTTTCTAACTGTAAAGTCAGACACTTTCAGTAGGGTGTGAGATTCACACACGGCAGTGTGACCTGTTGCCTACTGGTATGAAGAAGCTGTAGAAATCATCATTGGGCATCCACAGAGGACACAGATGCTTCAGATGAGAGGGGTGTTCCTGAATGTTCCTCAGTGAGTACAGATCTCTGAATACTAGGGAGAGGGGACCTGCTGAGGCCTTGCCCCACAAAAAGTGAGAGAGGCATAATGCTGGTCTTGTTTTGTCCATACGGTGGGAGTCTTCTGTGTGGAGATTGGATTCTCAGGGTGGCTGTGCATCTTGGAGTCCTGCTGTTGAGTATGTGTGGAGAGGAGAGAAGAGAGTCACAGCAGGCCACAGAGAGGGGTCTCAGAGACAAAAAGGATCTGTGCAGATCATTCATTATAATAAGACAGTTGCTCACTTTCCTTCCATGAAGGGCCCTGAAGGCACCACTTAATCATGCATCCAACACAGTATTTATTGCTGCTCATCCAATAAATGAACATACCCAAGACCTAGCAGGAAAACACTATCATTTTGCCCACTTTACAGACACGCAAGGTAAGTTCTGGAGAGATGGGGTCCTTTACAAGGTCGACTTATCTAGCCAAGAGACCATGTGTGCTGATGGACTAGATCCACAGAGGGGTAGTGATGTAGAGACCAGCCTCATGTCTAGGGTGTTAGAGAGATGAAGACAGATCACTAGATTCATCCATGAGTGTCAACTGTGCTGCTCTGTACATTTGCCAGAAGGTGGCAGGACTACAGTTTTCTTAGACCTCATCCTCTCCTTGTGATAGAAACGGCATGGGAGTGCCATGCACAAGGCATGAAATTCCCTCACAGACACATGCATGGGGCTTCCTGGAGACATGCGCGACTGCACGACTGGACACCGTCTGGACAGAGGATGTCAAGAGTTTAATCTCAGACTTTACCTTAACGTTGTAGGAGGGAACATTTATTGAAAGCTTACAGCCAGCTTATGTACACATAGCTGTTGGCTGGTAGGGCAGCCAGGAACAGGGAAGTCACATCTCCCATGAGGTCTGGGTACGGTCATCATGTTCTGGGCAGGATGTTTTGCAAATTACTTTGCGAAAAGAGGAGATACAATGTGCCCTTTGCAGTTAGCTGCAGAGGGTTTTATGGGCCTGGAAACATTTGCCTTTGGCAATTTCCAATAAAGACACAGCAGTGTGTGCAGCTGGACACAGCCAATTATGGAGTGTGGTCACTTTCTGTACTGGCCCATTTCTGAACTCTGATTAACTGCAATGTTTCTCAAAAGCACCCTTGGCACCCAGGGTGCCCCCTCCTTGCATTCCATCCTTTCTTTAGCTCTTAACAATCCCAAGAGGTTTCTTTTCCTTGATACTCCCAGACCTGCTGGTATTGGGACCAGCTTGACTCACTCACGTGAATCTTAGTGCACCTCCTCCTGTCTCCTGTAAGCATCTGAAACACCCATTCCCCTCCTCCACACCTCATCACCTGTGGCTCAAGGACTCAGCTCTGCACCCTCCTCATAGGTGACTGTTCAGTGACTTTTCTTCCCAGCCTCCTTGCTTCTTCTGCGTCATATGCCTGACTCTGAATGATGGAAGGGTTTGGGCATTTTCTGTGGGCTCTTATTTTGACTACTTGGAGATCTTAAGCTGGGGGGGTACACAAACTCTGTCAGTGTGGATCCATCTCATAATTCCAGATTTGGATATCTATTCATCATCTCCACTTGAATGTTTCAGAAGCTCCTCATTCTTGTAGGAACCATAGTGATGGTGATCCACTTGCAAGGCTGACCATGTCATTCATTGGCAAACTAAATTCCCTAAGTTATTCATAGAGACAACAGTTGTGTCATCTGTGACTTTTATGATCATGTTGCCATCTATACACATCTATGAAGTTTTCAGTGTCTACCACATCCATGAGATGGAGACAGGGAGCTCAATGCATTCAGGTAGGCTGCTGCTTGTTGGTGTTTTCATCAATATTTATTCAGTTCAAGTCCCACCTACATCCATCAGTGGGACCCTGGACTAAGTTGATTTTAGAGACAAGATCTCACTACAGTAGCCCCAGCTGGCCTAGAAGCTACAGGCCTCCTGCCTGACCTCAGGAGTACTAACTGCACAGTATATTAGAAGCAGCACAGACACCCCTGGAGCACTTTACAAAGGAAGAAGCCATAGAGTACAAGGATGCAGAGGAGCTGGGTCCGACCGGGTTATAGGGCATAGGTGCCATCAGTGCGATGGAGACCAGTGTAATGTCTAATCTTCGTTGTCATGCAGAAAGAGAGAATCTCAGTTGAGGATTGCCTCCATCGGACTGGCCAGTGGGTATGTGTGTGGGAGTCACAAGAAAAAATAACCCTTTTACTCCTCAAGTTGCTTTTGGGCTGTTTTTTTTTTTTTAACACAGCAACAGAAAATACAACAGATATTAACAAGAGAGGAATGCTCAGGGATTTACTGAACCTGTCTGTGATGTTTTGATCTAGCCTCTCTCAGAGAGAGAGAGAGAGAGAGAGAGAGAGAGAAAGAGAGAAAGAGAGAGAGAGAGAGAGCCACAAGAAAGTGAAAGGCCCATCTTTGCATGTACCTTTCCAGTGCAAACATCCTAGGCAATCTCTAATGCAGCCTCATCCTTAG